TTTTTTCCTTGCATTTTGTACCGACGGTTCCAAAACCTGGCCTTCCTGGTAAACCTAGTTATATTCTTGGAGCACAGCGGAAAATATTTTTTCATTTCCAATGTTTTCTGCTTTGCTCCAAGAACACAACTAGGATAAAGCACAGCGAAAAACATTGCTTCGTTTCTAATTTATAGACCGTAATTCTGTAATTGTATTTTATGTTATTGAAATTTATGTTATTTTAATTTCTTATATTGTGTTTTTTTATTGTATTTTCTAGACCATTTTCATCATGGGTTTAACCCAATTTATAATATTTCTCATCGAACCTTATAGATTAAGTATCGATATTTAAAATTAAGTATCAATCTTATCTTCATTAACATTTTCAAAATTAAAAGTTCTAATCATCAGCAAAAAAAATTCGATATTTTAATCGTCGATCTTATCTTAACCTTTTTCAATATCTAAAGAACCTTAAAGATTAAGTATCGATATTTAAAATTAAGTATCAATCTTATCTTCATTAACATTTTCAAAATTAAAAGTATCGGACCTCATAGGTTAAGTATTGATATTTAAAATTAAGTATGGATCTTATCTTCATTAACATTTTCAAAATTAAAAGTTCTGATCATCAACAAAAAAGTTTCGATATTTTAATTGTCGATCTTATCTTAACCTTTTTCAATATTTAAAAGAATTGATCATCATAGCATAGCATAAATTTGAGGTGCATGCCAAGTCAATGCAGAACTCGCGTTCTGCAGAAGGCGAGTTCCATTTCATGTCAACGTAACTCACTTTATGTAAAACACGAGTTCCTTTCGAACAATATATCAGTCAGAAGTGAAATCAAACAAACAGCACAAAAGTGAAGGTAATCAAACCAACCACACAAAGGAGGTGAAGATTACCAACTTAATTTGCTAGACATCACTTTCAGAAAGTGTTTTAATTGTAAGTTTATACGAGAGAGACTTCTCGATTATTATATAGTTTGTAGTCAGTATTATTTCTCTAATGTTTTTTCTTCTCTCTAGATGATCGTAGATATTCTAGAAACTATATTGAGAAGAGGAACTATTATTGCTTTGGTATACTATGATAGCCAAATGATCGTTGATGCATCTTTCGGTGCCATCTTTCAATCCTCAAACATTGCAATGATAATTTTACTGAGTAAATTAATGTATAAGGTGTTGATGAAGGAAGTGAAGAAGAATGTTCCACATACTCATGGAAAAATGAAACCATTTAAGTATCTACTACCAATGTTGTTAGAATTATTAACCTACTCAATATATCACGTTATGAATAACGGTGATGTGAAATTGATGCTGGATTACAACATGCAGTATTCATTAGGAGGGCCCCTAGATTTGTTTGCAATGTTTTCTAATGATGATGATGCTACCCGTGTCCCAAATTGGAGACAAATGGATTTTGACTTCAATCCTATTGTTTAGAGTCTGACAGGCAATTTACGAAATAACTTTAACTTATTAAGTATACAATGCACACAACAACTTGGGTGCATCATCGTCTTTGATGTCGAGGCATTCTTGCGTAGCTAGCTTCTACTTTGTCTTGTAACATTCAACCTATAATACATACAATATGGTCGTAGTTGTGTCATCATCTCACCATGACATGAGGTTGCTAAACCAAGAAACGTTTAACCCATTCGATGATTTCTCATATGGATGATATTCAATTTTTATCCCTAGTGCGGATTACATGTTAGCATCAATGAGAGATATTCTTGTGCTGGTGTTGTTGACTTTAATATTGATAATACAATTCGTGAGTGGTCTTGTGATCGATGTATAACTATTACACCTGTTATCTTCGCATTTGATTATACATAGCTATTTCAATTTGAGGAAGATGATTCTGACAAAAAATCGATAAGGGAGAGCAGCCCCGATGGTGACAAGGTAAGCCCCTTCTGTGAAGAATCAGAAGACCTTGACATGCTAGTGGGAGCGGATGATGATGTCCAAGTCAACGAAGAACACACCGTACCTATCAACGTTCCACATGATGCCACTCCTATTTCTTATTACTAACCATCATCCTACTTCACAACAGTTAGCCTTCAACGCTCCAGTATTTTCACAATTTCTAAAAATTGAGCAATACAACCAACATGGTGATGGTGAAATTTATATTGGAATGACCTTTAGGACAAAAGAACACACTGTGGTTGTCATTAAGAACTAGAATATACACCACTCAATTATGTTGATTGTGAAAAAAAACCGGACAAGTACATTATTGAATGTGTCCACAAAAAGCAGGGATGCAATTAGAAGGTTAATGTATCACGCTTGAAGACAATGAACAACCTATAAAAGCTCACAAAATATGGTCAACCTCATACATGCACCATCAGTAACCTTAGTCATGATCATCGTAACATGGATGTGCACATACTTTATGATACATTCATTCTACTGGTCAAATTAAATTCACGTATAAAAATTACCACTTGTATTGTTGTACATCTCAATATGACTACACAGTTGACTACCATAAAGCATAGTATGCAAGGTCTCGGGCATAACGAAAATTGTATGACCAATGGGAGGAATCGTACAAAGAGTTGCGACCATAGATAAAAATAATACAGAAACACATACCGGGAATGATTGTTAAACTAGAAATTATAGCATAATACAAAAACGATTGTGTCGTAGAAGGTGTGTGCCAATTCTACCGGATCTTTTGGATATTTCTACAGTGTGTTAATGTATTCCGCTATTGCAAGTCGATCGTTCAAATTGATGACACTTGGTTGTATGGAAGATAGACACAAATACTGTTATTGGAGGTCACACAAGAAGGAAATAGAAAAACTCTTCCCATAGCCTTCACAATAGTCGAAAAGGAAGATATAGACTCTTGGTAATTCTTTCTTAAGAACTTACGAAGATATGTTCTATCTCATGTTATGCATGATAGACTTGATGAGATATGTCTTATTTCTGACAGAGGCACAAGATCAAACATGTAATCCAATGTATGGGTCAGTCTTGATAACCTTTATATATTTATCACTGGTGTTGTTTACGTCACATTGTTGCAAATCATTTGCAAAAGTTTAAGAGTGAAGATGAACGCCTAATGGTGCTTCGAATAGTTACGTCTTTCACTCTCTTAGGTTTAAGATATCTTTCATTTATTATTTCTAATTAATTGTTACATTTTTAATGGATATGCCACACACATTTCGTCCCTGAAGTTGAGGAGTTGCTTCAAGAATTGAGAGATAGGAATTTACAGTGCTATAACTACCTTGCTAAAGCCCCAAGGGAAAATAGCTTTGATCATTTGATGGGGTTAGACAATATGATCACATGATAATGAACTTGGTTGAGATGATCAATTCATCGTTGGAAGGATTGTGACATTTTCATATCACTTCTGTTGTCAAAGCAACATATTATCAGTTGGCAACCCTTTTTGCAACCTTGAGAACAAACAATTGACTGAATGACAAGTGGCCACATAGTCCACTCAGACCTCGTCATAAAATTTCAAACATTTATGCAACATTCAAATGCAATAAATGCTATATACATCTCTCGCGAAAAAATAAATTATGTGTTTTGAAATATTCAAAGCCATTGGAAGGCATACAACACAATGCATACGTAGTTAATCTACGAGAAAAAGCCTGCGACTACAGAGTATTCCAAACATTCAAATATCTGTGTGCGTACGTCATTGTTTTTTTCTCTCATTAGAAATAAATAGGATCCAGATGAAGTTGATGATGAACCTATAATACCACCAAATTACGCACTACGATGTGAAAAAAGGGTTGTCCATGATCAAAATGGATTTACTGTGATGAGGATTTGGTTGAACATCAAGAAAAAAATCAGACAGTCGAAACTATGCACTATATGTAGGAATCCCAGACATGTGAAGGACAAATGTCCTAATCTATCAGGCGTTCGTATTGATTAATTGTGCTTTTTCATTATACTACTACTTTTGTAATTAACAAAATATATTTGTTGGTTTTCAATTTTTCTTTTGTTTCGAACCATTTTCAACTCGAATTTAACTCCTCTTATAATGTCTCATATGTGCCGATATTAATCTCAACTGAAAGATAATTTCCAATAATAGTCTTTAATCTTATTAATTACAAAAAAATTATGATTAACTTCCCATAAATACCCATAGAACATGTCTATCAAGCCATTTTAACTTCTTCTTCATGCATAAAACCAAGCTTTGGAACCATTTTCAACGTGAATTTAAACTCGTTTATAATATCTTGTATGTGTCGATATTAGCCTCAACTGCTAAGTTCTAATAATACGCCTCTAATACAAAAAAATGATTAACTTCCCATAAATACCCCTTGAATATGTTTATCAAGCCATTTTAGTTTCTTCTTCATGCACAAAAACAAGTTTTGAAATCATTTTTAACGCGACTTTTACCCTGCTTACAATGTCTCGTATCTGTCGATATTAGCCTTAATTGAAAGATAAGTTCCAATACTATGCCTCTAATCTTATAAATTATGAAAAAGAAAAATTATTAACTTCCCAAAAATACCCCTCGAACATGCATATAAACACTTGCAATGTTGGCTAGAAATGCAAGGATGTTTCGTTCTATAGGATGCGAGGTTCATAAATAAATCTCACGATAAATTTAATTTCTCTTTTGGGTTATCTTAAAAGTTCTTCCACGTTGGATTGATCTCGTTCCTTACAGAATATGAGGTCCTTCTACGCATCTTGTAGAACGCGAAATAGGCCTACGTGGACCATTTGAGTTCATTTTTCCAAATAATTCTTGGTAGGGATATTTTTTAATAAATTAATAAAAAAAGGTATTTTAATAAAAACGTCTATTTGAATCCCTGCCGCGTGTATGACGTAAATGTCGTGAGATCACCAAATCCACGTCATCCTCCTCCGACAATCATCGACTTGTTAAATAGGTGGTGAAAGTCGTGAACTTTACTGCAAACCGCAACGTAACATTCCATGGCGACCTCCACAAAGCCATTGCTCACCGACCTCGCATCTACACTTAAACAGGTGCCACCCAATTACATCAGGCCAATCTCCGACCGTCCGAACCTCTCCGGTATCGATGCGTCCGATGTTTCCATTCCGCTCATCGACCTCGGGGGACCCGACCGCTCCGATGTTGTTAAACGGATTGGCCTAGCTTGCCGACAAGACGGCTTCTTGCAGGTCAAGAACCATGGGGTTCCAGAGGCTACGATCAACAACATGCTGCGTTTAGCCAGAGAGTTCTTTTATTTGCCGGAGAGTGAACGGTTGAAGAATTACTCCGACGACCCTTCCGTCAAGAACCGGTTGTCGACCAGTTTCAATGTCAAGACGGAGAAGGTTGCTAACTGGAGGGATTTTCTCAGACTCCATTGCTACCCTCTTGAAGATCATATTAACCAATGGCCTTCAAATCCCCCATCCTTCAGGTTAATATCATATTAATTTGAAAATTCATTTTTAGAGTAAATTACGTATTTAATCATCCAACTATCATTTTAATTCCGTTTTGATCAAGTTCGTAATTATTCTTCGTCTCGGGAGCCACTGCCTTCTACTTTTTTATAACTAAAAAAATACATGATGAAAATCAAAATGTAATGTTACGTATAACTTTTCATCTTACAGGAAAGATGTTACCGAGTATTGCAGTAGCACGAGGGATTTAGTGCTGAGATTGCTGGAAGCCATATCCGAGAGCTTAGGGTTGAAGAAGGATCATATAGAGAAGACACTGGGCGGGCATGGACAACACATGGCTTTGAACTACTATCCGCCATGTCCACAACCACAACTTACTTACGGATTGCCGGGCCACACAGACCCTAATTTAATCACCGTCCTTCTCCAAGATGATGTCCCTGGACTACAGGTTCTGAGAAACGGCAAATGGGTTGCCGTTAATCCCATTCCCAACACCCTCATCGTCAACATCGGCGATCAAATGCAGGTCAGTTTTAAAAGGTGTAATATCAAAATTAATCCCTAATATCTATTAAAATGATCATTTTAATTTTTATTTTTTTAGAATATTTTGATTCTCAACGTCTCATTTTAGAGTAAAAACACTCAAACTTGATTGAATAGTTATTTTACCTTGTCTTTTTTAGTTTATATTATAAATTAGTACTTAATTATAAATCTTTTTTTAATTATCTAAAATACTTCAAAATGAGTACCTAAAATTATATTTGATCAAAGTATTTAATTTTTTCATCTAAATATTTAGAGTATTTTTTTATTAATATCATGTTTAAACGTTTTTAAAATTTAGATGACAAAGATTGAATACTTTAGGTACCTATTTTAACAAAACAATTCTTTTAAATACTTATTCTGAGCAAAAAAATTACTTTAAATACTTATTTTAACTAAAAATGTTTTAGATACTTAAATAAAAATATATATATTTTTTAAATACTTATTTATAATATAAATTTTTTTCTCGGAAACATTTTGCCCCGACTTATGATTTTAAGATAAAAATTCCCTATTTTAGAAGGTTCAATGCTTGTTTATTATCGGGATGGTCAAAATACTCGAATTTGACAGGTCCTGACCTGATCCTACGGATAGGAGCGGATTTTTTTTGTTTTTTAATTTTTGAGGCTCGGGACGAGTTATGTAGTAAAAAATTTCGAGACGGGACGGAGGCAAATGTAAGGTGAAAAATCACCGATCCGACCAGATTATTTTATATATATTATAATTAATATTTTTTTATTTTTAAAATATATTATTTAATTATTAAAAATATTATAAAATATATTAATTTAACAGTTTAAATATAACAAATAATTATAAATATATTATTATAAAATATATTATTTTAATTATTTTAAAATATTAATATATTTAGATCGAGTCATATCGAGATCGGAGTTTTAATCTAAAAATCGGGACGGGTTCAGGGCGGGGAAAAACTGACTGATTTAATACTCTAAAAACTAAGCGTCAAAACACTGATTTAATCAAATATTAGGGGCATGTTTTACATGTCGATTTTACAGTGTGCTCATGTAATGGAGATAAATAAACAGACTGCTTATCTTTGTAGCAGGTGATTAGCAACGATCGTTATAAAAGTGTGCTCCATCGAGCTGTTGTGAACTGCAACAAAGAACGAATCTCCATCCCCACTTTCTACTGCCCGTCACCGGACGCATTGATAGGCCCTGCGACGGAGCTGATCGACGATGACCACCCTGCGGTGTATCGATGTTTTACCTATGGCGAATTCTACGAAAAGTTTTGGAAGAGGGGACTTGCAACTGAATGCTGCCTGGACATGTTCAAAACTTCTATCTGATGAATCATTTTTACAAACAAACATAAATGAACGTCATACGAACAGTTTACCAAACGCTCTGTTCATTTACTGACGCTCTATCCGAATAGTCACATGACTGATATTGTATTCTCTCCTGATGTAATCTACAACCTTGTTCAATACCATGTCGGCATTAGCTTCACGTTTAATTAAGACATGGCAAGCTAATAACACCTTACCAACAGTTACGGCCCAGATGTGCAGTTCATGTATCGCGACCACCTCATCCATCTCGTATAAACCCTTCTCGAGCCTTGTGGGGTCGATTTCCCGGGGCGTGCTCTCCATGAGAACTTCCAAGATGTTTCGCAGCATCCTGATGGTTGTTCCCAATACGATAACGGAGAATATAAGGGTGCATATCAGATCGATTATTTTCCACTCGGGTTTCCATCAAATAATTGCTCCACCAATCATAACTCCAATGCTCTGTATGGAATCCCCTAGGACATGAAGATAAGCCCCTTGTATGTTGCTGTTTCTTTCCTTCTTTTTAGGTTCACCGCTTTCTGGCTTTTTTTCGCAGTCCGAGTATGTCTTAAGAAGCAGCACTCGATGGTCAGATTCAGCTTCATGAGTATGATGATGCTTATCATGTAGCTTAGAATTCGAACCATGATGATGGTGATTATGAGAGGTTACACTAAATCCATGATTATGCGGTTCAGTGCCATGTCTATGACTGATCATGGTGGTCATGATCGCTCCCGCCATGGCCATGACCATGGTGATGCCCATGATCATGACCCGGTATAAGAGCCATAGCAATATTCACCACAAGACCAAATGCAGAAACCATGAACATGAGAAAGCCTTCAACTTCACCTGTACCATGAATAAGTCTACCTATGGCTTCGTAAACAAGGATGCGGGCTAGAAGTCATATCATCTGGATGTAAACGAGGGCACCGAGAATTTCAACCCTGAAGAATCCGTAAGTCTGACGCGGAGGGCCCAAAGAGAGAACAAGGAGATTGCAAACGCCGCAACATCAGACAAGAGATGAGCTGCATCAGTTAAGATTGCAAGACTATTGGCTTTAATTCCTCCAGCTACTTCAACACTCATAAACACAATACAGAGCACCACCACCGTCAACAATTTCCGCATAGAGGCTGAACATTCTTTCACGTCTTTAGAAATGGTTTGAGCATCAGAAAACCCACATGCTGCACCTCCACAAATCGTACTTCCACCTAGGCTCGTCTCCGCAGCTGGCACATCTCCTCTTATATCGATTATTTGCCCTTGTTCCCAATTCTACACTTCCATCTGAAAACAATATGAACTACACCGAGCACACATAATTTATTAGTTCACAAACCGTAAACCCCAAAAAAAAAACGAAATGAGATTGAATCAACAAATTTAGCTAGATCATATATCTTGTATAATAAAAAAAACGCTATATGCCGGAAACATCAAGTTACCATCTTTATCATCGTCGAGTCATAAAAATACCAACGCTAACAGGGAAAATCGCAGAAATGCAGGTAACAGGCAAAACATGGACCATGATAGGACATGTTGCAAAGTAGACAAGTTCTTCATGGAGACTATTTGAAGGGCATAAACCGGTATGCTCGACTTTAAGTTCATCCGATTCGATACACCTTGCATACTTATTTCTCCTTTCACTAAAACTTTATGACTAAGATTCAAGAACACTACAGGATCAAATACAAATTCAGCAACAAACATCACACTTGCAGCCTATGTATTGAATCAGCAAAAGGTTAACAAGGCAATTCACTACCCAATCCAACAAGCATCCGTCCAAGTACCGATGAATATAATCGAATATCCCATGTACACATACACACACACACGATTGTAGCAGTTTTAGATTCTAGAATCAAACAAAGATTGGAAGAAATGGGTATTCAGATCCGGGATTTAAATAGCGGCCCGCTATCGGAATAGGACTTTATATATATCATTCGAAACCGATACTGCATGACCGCAATAGCACCCATTATGTATGCAATCGTGATAAATGCATTGCAACCACAGCCGCAATTTAAATCCCGGATTCAGATTCAATTTAAACTAAAAAACATCAACTCATTACTACATTAAAAACAAGAATTTTCAATAGAACCGGTTAAGTAACCGAATAAAAGAAAATGGAATTGCCTTGTTCAGTGGCTCTTCGTTATCGTTTTCAATTACTACCTTCTGAAAAGAGTAAAACCCAAAGAGCAAATTAAAAATTTATATCCTTTTTGCTATTTTGCAGATTACAAAGAAAACCCAGATTCCAGACATGTTCGATCGACAAAATAAAAAGGAAAAAAGAGAACAAAATGGTACCTTTGATTGCAAAACCCAGATTTTGCAGTAGCTGATGGCTCCTGTAGCTTCAATGAAGGCAAGAGAGTTATATAGTTTGAAGGCGACTGAAACTTAAGCGACTGTAAGCTTCAGAAATTTCCCAGTAATTTTATCTACGCCGCCTCTTTGGAATTCTCTAGTGATATTCTATGGCTAAAATTCGTACCAAGAATTCAATTAAATTAAATTGACATTTGCTTAGGTAAATCCAATTTCGGCTGCACGATGTTTAATGGCTAAAGTACAAAGTTGACGAAATAACAGAGCAGCGCGTGTTGCAAAGGGGATTGGGGTAAACTACATAAATCATCACCCAACGTTTTTCTCATTCCTATTTCGATCACTCAAATTTAAAATTTCTCGATTTAATAACTGAACTTTATACATTAAACTTTTTAATCATTTTACCGTTAACTTTATAACGATGTTATGACATGGTCTAATACTATTATCAACCTTAGTTTTAAGTCTTTGATAGACAGCGACAATACATTTCATTAAATGATAGCTGATTTGAGATTTTTGAATGGAAAGAATCAATGGTTGTCGTTGTTGCCATGGTGAAGTTCCTAAAATCCAATAAGGTTGTGATTGTTCCCCAAAGTTGATACGCCGGCAGCAAATCAATGATCGCGAATTCCTTCGATGAAGGGACATGTGAGCAAGGACGAACATAGTATTTTATGCCAGGGACGAGTTTCTAAAATTTTAAGTGGAGACGAATTTATAAAATTCTAGGGATAAAACATATTTTCAATAAAAGATACATAGAAAAATCTAAAATATATGATAAATTTAAATTTTTAGGGGTACGACTGTTCCCATCCATCCCGCTCCGTCCATCCCTATCTACAGCCACTCCTATGACCATTGTTTAAGCAAGGTTATCGTGAAGGATTTCGCAAGTGCTTCGTCAAGCTCATCGATTACCAACATCTAATGCAAGAAAATCAAGGAGAGGTTTGAAGAGATGTGCAAGACTAGAAAGAACAAGTGGGCTAATTTGCTGCTAGGGTGTTGTGAAAAAAAAATTATTGGTTGAAATAGGGTCTTACCGGAATTATTTTCTAGTCTAGTGTGAATAGTACAATACCCGTCGAAAGTCGTCGAGAACACAATGCATCTTTAAAAAGTCGTCGGGAACACAATGCGTCTTCAAGCGACCTGGGCAAAGTCACACTCCAATCACCTCCAACTTAAAGATTGCAAATTACAAATTACAATTTGCATGGTGCAATTTCAGGGGGAGACACACTAAGATCTTGGCTTCTCCCCAAAATTATTCAAAGTCGCACGGTGGTCCTTGCCTCACACGTTAAAGTCGCATTGTGTTTCAGACAACTTTATGGTTACTGTAGCATTCACACCATCTCGAGAAATAATTTCGGTGATACCCTAATTTAACCATTATTTTTTTTCAAGAACCCTACAGCAGCAAATCAACCGAACATGTGGTTCTTTACTAAGCTCATCAATATTTTATAATAAGATGAATTTTGTAAAATATTAAACTTTACCTTATTATAATTGTTTCTTATAAAATAAAATAAAAATCCAAATATTAAAATTAAGTTTTCTTCACTGAATTTTCTTCATGTGTGCATACTGTATAAGAAAAAAATAATTTTTTATATTAATAAATTTTTCCGTTTAAATTTTGAGAATATTGTGGGTGTGATTTAAAAAAATAGCGGTGTTTGATAATTGTTTTGGGATCTAAGGTATTATTACAATGCACATGGAACTCGTCATGTGGGTGATGAGTTTTATAAATATATTAAAAAAATAGAACTCGACATATGAATTGGAATAAAATTGTATTGAACTCGTCACTCCCTCAGTCCCTCGTGACAAGTGTCAATTCTTTAATATATTTTATAGAACTCATCACTCCATCATAACGAGTTTCACGTACTAACAAATGACATAAATCCCGAAATAATTTTCAAACACTCTCATTTTTCAAAAAAAAATAAAAATTAAAAACATTTGCCGCCAACAATATTAAACTAATGAAGCCTATTTTTTAAAGCATGGAGTCCTAAATATAAAGGCCTTATGACGTATCACATATTACACACGCTAATAGTCGGATTATGGCGACTCTTAAAGGGCATAGATGTGAATCAATTTATGGTGTTGACTAGGGTTGTAAATGAGACGAGACAGATCGCGAGCTACTCGAGATTGACTCGGTCAAGGCTTGATAAATACTCGGATCTAATGGACTCGATTCAAACTCGAGCTCGACTCGAATTCTTAACGAGCCGAAACGAGTTACTTGATACTCGACTCAAAAAGCTCGTGAGCAGCTCGAAAATATAAATATTAAGATTTTATTTTATTTTTAAATAAATTATTAATAATATTAACATTTATGTGTTGTTTTTTTTTTAAAAAATACAATAAGGCTTTCATGTATTTAATGTTCAGGTTCGAGTTTGAGGATTCAATCTTGTTAAGTTTAAGATTTTTTTTTTTATTTCAAGCATTTTCGAGCTACTCACGAGCTTCAGTTTAGGATTTCGAGTTCGAGTCTATCTTAAAAATTTTAAGCTCGCGAGCTTTCGAGTCGAGTTTAGCTCAGCAATACTCGAGCTCGACTCAACTAGTTTACACCTCTAGTGTTGACAGCCTAACCAATCATCTAATCATGCATCCATCATTACCCTTAAACTTCATTCATTGAATGTACCGTCCACCCACCCTAAATCACCTATTAAATTCAATCTATAACCATTGG